GGAGACGACCCTACTTATCGCTATCACAAGTGTGTTTTAGAGATAATAGGCTTATTTATATAAATTATATTATTTGCCGGACTCGACACCCGTCAAATTTTTGGCGCCGTTGCCGGGGACTTGGCAAAGTTTAACTGTTTATGCCAAGATCGTTTCGTGCAGGTTCACCATTGCCAATTGATCCGGAAATTGAGAAAACCGCAAAGAAGCTAAGAAAGCAAGCTAAGCTTCGGAAGAAGCAAGGCACGTCTACTTCTTCACAGGTTCTCAATATTTGGAAAGATATTGAGTTGTCATCCGATTCAGAAGAACAAACGGAGGACGAAGAAAAGAAACCTCATTTTGAGCAAGAAGAACCGGTCATCGAGACTGAAGAGGAAATGACGAATCCCGAACGCACTTTAAGGGAATGGGCAGCACCCAACGTCGCTGAGCAACCTCTTTGCATCACTTATCCGCCGGAAGAGGTAAGTGCAGAACTTAAAACTGGTTTAATACACTTACTGCCTCGTTTTCATGGTTTAGCTAACGAAGACCCGTACAAGCATATGACCGAGTTCCACATGGTGTGCTTGGGGATGAAACCACAAGGCACGACGGTGGAGAATCTCAAGCTAAAGGCATTTCCATTCTCCCTAGTTGACGCAGCTAGGGAGTGGCTTTTCTACTTACCGCCAGGATCCATCACCACTTGGGCGCAAATGGCGAGAGCATTCCTCGACAAGTACTTTCCCGCATCCAAAGCCGCCGGGCTTAGAAGAGAGATATGTGCGATCAAGCAGAAGGACATGGAGTCTTTATACGAGTATTGGGAGCGCTTCAAGCGCCTTTGTGTAAGTTGTCCTCAACATGGAATTTCTGATGAATTAATAATTCAATATTTTTATGAAGGTTTGCTACCGATGGAAAGAAAGATGATGGATGCTGTGAGCGGAGGAGCTATAGTGAACAAGATACCAACACAAGCGAGGACTTTGATAGACACCATGGCGAAAAACTCCAAGCAATTTGGAGTACGGAGTGACATTGGTCGAGGCGCTAGTGAGGTACATGTTAAATCTTTAGAGACTAAAATAACTGATTTGACTAACCTTGTGAAACAGCTTGCCATGGGTAATATGCCTCAAGTCAAGGCATGTGGATTTTGCTCATCAGTGGCACATCCCACCAATGCATGCCCGACTTTACATGAAGAAGAATAGCAAGTGAATGCCATTGGGGGTGACAACTTTCAGAATTCAAGCAATCGGGCTCCCGACCCTTTCTCGAGCACATACAACCCCGGTTGGAGGCAGCATCCGAATCTGAACTATGCCCCGAGGCAAGGACAAGGACAAGGTCAACAATTTCAGCAAAGAGGCTCATTCCAGCAATCTCAGCAGTTTCAACCTCAACAATTCCAAGCACCACCGGGTTTTCAGCAACAACATCAACCGAAGGCACCATTTCAGCCGAGTGCCCAACATCAACATCAAGTGTCACCGCAAGCTCCTAGTGGCTCAGGTATGTCATTAGAGGATTTAGTTAAGTCTATGGCTGCTAACATGGTGAAATTTCAACAGGAAACTCAGGCAAGTATTCAAGACCTTCAGGCCACTGTTGGCCAATTAGCAAACAAAGGTAAATTGCCGTCTCAAACGGAGATGAATCCGAAGGCAAATGTGAGTGCTGTCACTTTGAGAAGCGGAAAGGAGCTTCAAGAGGTTGTAAAGAAGAAGAAAGAAAAGGTTCATGAGGAAGAAGAAGAGTTAGAAGTCAAGACATCCACTTCAGGTGCAAAGGATGCCAAAGAAGAGGAAGCAAAGAAGAAGACACCCGAATTGATAGTTCAAGCACCGCCATTCCCGAGCCGATTCGAGAAGACAAAGCGGGAGAGTGAAGAGAAGGAGATCCTTGACACATTTCGGAAATTTCAGGTAAACATCCCTTTATTAGATGCAATTAAGCAAGTTCCTAGATATGCTAAGTTCTTGAAAGAGCTTTGTACGAATAAAAGGAAACTAAAGGGCAATGAAAAGATAAGCATGAGTCAAAATGTGTCCGCTGTTTTGCAAAGACAGTTACCACCCAAGTGTAAAGACCCGGGCATGTTTACCATACCATGTAAGGTAGGCAATGTCTCGGTAGATCAAGCCATGTTGGACTTGGGGGCATCAATTAATGTTATGCCATATGCYRTCTMCTCATCTTTGGATGTAGGGCCCCTTAAGCCAACCGGTGTGGTAACCCAATTAGCGGATAGGTCTATTGGCTACCCTAAAGGGGTATTAGAGGACGTGCTAGTTCAAGTGAATGAATTGGTCTTTCCGGCAGATTTTTATGTTATAGATATGGAGGAGAAAAATGCCTCCAAGGTCGGTATGCTTTTGCTAGGTAGACCATTTTTGAAAACCTCTAAGACGAAGATAGATGTCCATAGTGGTAGTTTGACCATGGAATTCGATGGCGAGATGATTAAAATTAATATATATGATGCCATGCGATTTCCTAGTGATGTTTCATCTTTATGTTTTGTTGATATTATCGAGTCTTTATCTGACACTATGACCAAGGCGTTCCATGCCTCTCGTATTTCACGTAAGTCTTCTACTAAAGGTCAGAAAGTTCTCCTCTATCACTCTAGATTAAAGTTATTTCCCTGTAAGTTAAGGTCCAGATGGATAGGACCTTTTGTTGTTTTAACCGTTTTTGAGCATGGTGCAGTGAAGATACAAAGTCTATCTACGGGGCAGATTTTTAAAGTTAACGGCCATAGGCTAAAGCCGTTCTATGAAGGCTTTGATGGAAGGGAATTAGAAAGGGTAGCTTTGGACACGCCAAGCTACAAGAATTGAACTGAGTATGGTCTAGCCAAAGACATAAAAGAAAGGCGCTGCGTGGGAGGCAACCCACGAATTTCCATTTCTTGCTATTTATTGTTTTCAGTTATTTAGTTTGTTTTTAGATTCTCTAGTTTCACTCTTGGATTTCTATGTTCTCAGGTTCACCCCGAATGTTGGACGCTTGAAAAGACGCGCCCATCTCCACGGATTCTTACATTGGGAGGTCACTCATCAAATCAGGGGAGTTTTCTGTTCCCTTTCCTTCATTGTTTAGAGTGTCCTCTACTTATTGCATACCTTGAGGACAATGTATGAATTAAGTGTGGGGGTGGGGGTTATTTGCATGAATTGGGTATATAAATGGTTTTAGGGGTCAAAATTTTTGCTTTTTGCAAATTTTGTGCTTGAATGAGGATCTTTGTCCGTTTTGACAATGTGTTAGCATGCTTTTATTGAGCTTAAATTGTTGATGACAATGAGTTTGGATGCGTGTATAGCATGATTGAGCTTGATTGATAGCACTTAGAGTTGATTAGTGGCAGCATTTCGGTCAAAGTAGACTATTGCTAATCTCTTGAACTAGTTTTGAACACCGTGAGACTTTGAGCTTATCTAGACTAAATAATCGATATTAGTCTCAAATTCATTTCTTGTGTGATTGTGTCATGCCTAGATATGCATCTCTAGAACTTGATTTTTCTCTCCTTAAGACTACATGATAACTACATGCTAATAAACATGATGAAGGCCATCGTTTGCTCATTTTTATGTTAAACGACTAACCTTAAGCCTACCCCTTTATGATGTGATTATCTCTTTTGGAAACCACTTTGAGCCTTAGCCTATTTCCTTTGTCACCCACATCATAAAACAATCTAAACACAACTCACTCGACTAAGCACCAATGGAGTGATCCCAATATCCCTGTATACTTGAAAGTAGAATTCGTATGTTCGGGAAGAAAAAAAAATGAAAGAAAAGATTGAAAAGAAAAAAAAAGAAAAAAACAGAAAATTCAAAAGAAAAAAGAGAAAAAAAATATACATATGTAAAAAGCAAAATTACGTCGTCAATAAAAAATTAAAAATAGACGACGAAAATGACGATACGGTTGAATATAAGCATTTCATTTCTATTCTCTATCGTCCGAAAGGAATGAGCTTCAAAGATAGATATAAAATTCCTTTATGAAAATAAAAATAAAGTGTGTTTGAGTAGCCGAATTCTCCATTGGTGTTAGGTCTTAGTCACTTTTCCTAAATATTTCCCTACCGTACCCAAAGCCTTGTTTTTCGTTACACCTTTTAAGACCTTTTGATTTATAAGCATATATTCTATCCAAGTAGTAGAGAGTGAGAGGTTTTTCAAGCTTATGGTAGATACATGTTAGTGTAGTGACGATTTGAGCGATACACTTTAACCCAAGGAGTGAATCGAGTGTTACTTTTTTAATCCCATTCGTGAGAGTTCTCGAGATTAGCTTGTGTCTACTTGATTGTATGTGCATCCTCTTTTCAATGCTTTGTTGCAAATCTCAAACTCATTGTATGCTATATGTGTTGACATTCTCGTTAGATTCGATTTTTATATTTACGTGTTAACTTAAGTCATTGCCGGGACGGACAATGATCTAAGTGTGGGGGAATTTGATAAGTCCAAATTTATACAAATATATGCTTAAAAGGGGCCAATTTAATTTAAGTTAATTTAACTTCTTGAGGCTATTTAAGTTAAAAAAAGAAAAAAATTTGATTATTTGTTTTCGGTTCCAAGTCCAAACAGCCCAAAAAATGAAGTCCAAACAGCAGCCCAAAATCAAGCCTTGACAGCAGTTGCTGCCAAACAGTCCTACTGCAGCCCAAAAGAAAAACACGTGAAGAAACATAAGCAAGAGAAGAAACAGGGCTGCTGCCCAGACCAGAAATCGCGTCGAGAGAGAGAGAGAGAGAGAGAGAGACGTGGGCAGCGAGAGAGGGGGAGACGTGGGCAACCAAA